CTCATAAAAAAAAAAAAAAAAAAGGTATGGGAGGGTAGGGGGAGGTGAAATACATCCTCTAGCAACACACACATGCTGGGCAATGCCTGTGTTTTGCTGGGAGGCTGTGTGAAAAAGGCCCACTGTGGGTGGCTGCCTTTGAGTAGGGACATGATGGGTCTAGACGGGAGAGAAATTTACTTTTGCCATATTCTTTTACACTGCTTGAATTTTTCTCTACTATGTGTGCATTTTAACTCATTAATTATACATGCATATAAGTAAACCAGGTCCAAAGCCTGGTTTGGTGTATGAGGTATCTCTACTCTGGTTGTAAATCTCTTCTGTCACCTTGGCTGTGGAGCTTAAAATTAGAATTCTGCATCCTCTTGGGAGACAGTTCAAAAAAACGCTGGTCTCAGAATGAGGTTTAGAAACCTCCAGCACCTGTTCTGAGGGAGCCAGTGCAGAGGCGGAATCTATTTTTGTGTTTCATGAAATGATCCCATTTGTATGTTTCCATTTACACAAAATTTGGGGAACAAGCAAAATGAATCTGGTCCTGGGAGTCGGAATCGTGGCTCTCTTGGGGATGGGGTGGGCTGTGCTGGCTGGAAGGGGTGGTGAGGGGCTTCTGGGGGCTGTGCATGCTCTAAGTCGCGATCTGGGTTGTGGTTGCCTGGGTGTGCTTGTATGTGAACACTCACTGAACTTCCCATTTTAGAAGGGTGCATTTCACTGTAAATTACCCCATCTAATTAAAGAAAGCAAATTAAATCCATTCTCTGTAAACTGCATTTGAGCAAAAGCATTAACAAGCCGTGATTGGTAATGAGACACTAGGGAACCCTGCCATTTAATTCTCAGCCACTCCCCACGTCAGGCTGGATTTTGTTTGTTTTTCATTTCATGCGTAACAGGTATTGGCTTTCAAACTCCAAAGTGCTGCAAATGGACCAGGACAATATGTGTGGCTGCAGAGAGCAGCAGCCAGTCCCATAGGAGCAGTCTGCTCACCGGACACAGCTGAACTTGCTGTCTTTTCTTCTTCTCCTTCCTCCTCCTCCTTCTCTTCACCTTCTTCTTCCTCCTCTGTCTCCTCCTTTTTTGCAACAGAGTCTCATTCTGTAGCCCAGGCTGGAGTGCAGTGGTGCAATCATAGCTCACTGTAGCCTTGAACTCCTGAGCCCCAGCCAGGATTGCAATCTTCCAGCCTCCCAAGTCGCTAGGATTACAGGTGGACACCACCACACCCAGCTAATTAAAAAAAAAAAAATGTAGGCCAGGTGCAGTGGCTAACCCCTGTTATCCCAGCACTTTGGGAGGCTGAGACAGGTGGATCACCTGAGGTGAGGAGTTCAAGACCAGCCTGGCCAACATGGTGAAACCCTGTTTTAGTCTTTACTAAAAACACAAAACTTAGCTGGGCATAGTGGCTCACACCTATACTCCTAGCTACTCAGGAGGCTGAAGCATGAGAATCACTTGAACCCGGGAGGTGGAGGTTGCAGTGAGCTGAGATCATGCCACCACACTCCAGCCCTGGGCAACAGAGTGAGACTCAAAAAAAAAAAAATTATAGAGTCAAGGTTGCTATGTTGCCCAGGCTAGAGCTGAGCTTTCTAACCATCGGAGCTACCCACAGGAAGCCGGTTGCTCCGTGAAGTGGTGAGAGCCCTGACCCTGGGGGTGTGCAAACAGGAGGTGAGTTGGGACACAATGAGGGCATCCTGTAGTGACTTTGGGCTTGCTCATTTTAATAGGCAGAAAGTTCCTGGCAATGGGATCTCTTTCTTACCTCTCTCTTAGAAATCCACCTGCCAGAGCCCAGCTGTGGTTTTCTTACTGTTCATTGACACAAGTAATTAAACTTAAAAGTTACAAATAGGGCTAAAGGCTCCTTGGACAGCCACACCCAGTCCTGGTTCCCTCTTGTCCCACCGGGTGACAGCCACCTTGGTCATGCAAGTCCTTTCAGGCTTCTTACACTTTGCAGTCATGTGTGCGTGATCATGGACCACTCAGCACTGTACTCTGTGTATGTGAGTGATCACGGACCACACAGTACTGTACTCTGTGTGTGTGTTTGCATGATCACAGACCACACAGCACTGTACCCTGTGTGTGTGTGCGTGATCACAGACCACACAGCACTGTACCCTGTGTGTGTGTGTGTGTGCGCGCGTGCGTAATCATGGACCACTCAGCAGTGTACTCTGTGTGTGTGAGTGATCACAGACCACTCAGCACTGTACTCTGTGTGTGTGTGCACATGTGATCACGGACCACTCAGCACTGTACTCTGTGTGTGTGTGTGTGAATGTGATCACGGACCACTCAGCACTGTATTCTGTGTGTGTGCGTGATCATGGACTGTACTCTGTGTATGTGACTGATCACGGACCACACAGTACTGTACTCTGTGTGTGTGCATGATCACAGACCACACAGTACTGTACTGTGTGCGCGTGTGTGTGTGTGTGTGTGTGTGTGCGTAATCATGGACCACTCAGCACTGTACTCTGTGTGTGTACGTGATCATGGACTGTACCCTGTGTGTGTGACTGATCACGGATCACACAGTACTGTACTCTGTGTGTGTGCATGATCACGGACCATACAGCACTGTACTCTGTGTGTGTGCGTGATCACGGACCACTCAGCACTGTACTCTGTGTGTGTGAGTGATCACGGACCACTCAGCACTGTACTCTGTGTGTGCGCACATGCCTTGTTTGGTTTTGGTTTTGTTTTACTAAAAGGCATCATCATGCTGTAAGCCTCCTGCTATAAACTACTTGTATTCACTCAGTGTCTGTCCTGAGATCTTCCATAACTGTCTCATTGTTTTAACTGTGGCATAGACTCCTGGCTCTGGCCTGTGCACCCTGCTTATTCAGGCATGCTCTGCTGCATGGACTTTTACATTGTTTCCAGTTTCTCGCTGTCATCAGGAGGCTCACTGAGGAGAAGAATTTCTCACGGATGGGTTAGGTCTGTGTTCTGCATTTAACTGACCTTGGCCAGTTGCCCTCCAGAACACTGCTGCCAGCTCCCTCCTCCAGTGGGGTGTTCGTTCATGTTTCCGTAGATCACCCCGTGCCCTTGACCTTACCAACTTTAAAACTTTCCAACCTGATGGCTGAAAGTTAGGTTTTCATTGTTCAGTTGTGTTTTTCTGAATTTTGGGAGACTGGGCATTCTCTGTGTTTGCCGACTCTCTGCGTCCCCTCTCCTGCCCTGTGCACCACCCCCCTGCTCCAGCTGCTTCCCGGAGCCTCCCTCCTTCCTCTCCACCTGCCCGCATCCTCCTCCTCAACCTTCAGTTTCTTCCTAAGGGCCCATGGGCCTTATTTGGCTTTTACGTTCCTCTCACTCCGACTTTGACAGCTGCTGGGCTTCCTATCCCCTGGGAGGTTTCAGAGGATTGGGAAGACGCAGGAGAAAAGTGTAATACAGGCCATAGTGTCCATCGTCCACAGCCTTTGTTGAGGACTTATATGTGCCAAGAACCTGCCCTAAGAACGTAACTGTGCTCCCTCACTTCATAACCACCTGTGAGATGGGCAATGTTTCTCATCCCCTTTACCACAGAGAATACGGAGGCACAGAGAAGTCAAGATTGCGACAGAGTCAAGATTCAAACCCAGGCTGTCTGGCTCTGGGGTTCAACCTCTCCAGTGCTCTGCTAGGTGTTGCACAGGGCCAAGGAGACACAGAGAATGAACACCACCTGACTTGGGCTGGATCAGGGACAGCTTCCCGTAGGAAGTGACAGCTCAACAGAGCCTTGAAGAGGATCAAGAGGAGCTGACCAGAATAAGTATGTCCAGGAAAAGGGAAGGGCCTCCTCAGTGATGCTGGGAGGCGGGAGAGCTGGCCTGGCCGAGGGTGTGTGCCAGGGGGCAGGAGATTGGGCCCAAGGGGTGGCCAGGGTCAGATCTAGAAGAGCCTGGGCCTTTCCATAGTCAATACCTCATCCCAGGGCCAGGCAGGCCTTCCACTGCTCTGTGTGCCCCCACCGCCACCCACCTGGGCTCCTGAGACCCAGTGCACGGGCACGGGGGCGGGAGTGGGTGTGGCTGATTTACATCCAACAGGCTGAGGGGAAAACCCAGGAAGTGCAGCCTAGGCACTAATCAAATCTAAAACTAATAATAAGCATCCTGAGTAATGAGTGGCCTGAGCCGGAGCAGACGAGGTGGCCGGAGCCGGGCAGACCTGGAGGAGCGGTGTGAGTAGCCGGGCAGGAGGGCAGGTGGGCAGGTGGTCAGGAGGGCAGGAGGTCAGATGGGCAGGAGGGCAGGTGGGCAGGAGGGCAGGTGGGCAGGAGGGCAGGAGG